TAAAAACAATGTGTTGTGAGTTTTCCTCTGTCAATAAACATTTCTACCTTATCTTAATGGCAACACATCCTATCCTGCAATTATACCTTACGTAACCTGTATCCCAGCTACTGTACTTGGGAGGCTGGAGGCTGAGGCAGAAAGATCACGTAAGCCCAGGGGTTCAGGACCAGCCAGGGCAACATAGCAAGACCTTGTCTCAAAACAATAACAACAAAAAATATACCACTTTTATTTAACTGGTCACGTTTTGGCAAACAGTTCAGTAGTTTCCAATTTAATGGTGTGAAGATCCTATAGGTCATTTTTTAATTTTTGGACTTTTTGAGACGGTCTTGCTACATAGTCCAGACTGGCTATGAACTTGCTATGTAGCTGAGGCTGACTTTGAACTCAAGATAACCCTTCCGCCTCAGCTTCTAGACTGCTGGGATTACAGGTGTACCCACCTAGTCCATCTCATTGATTTATTAGTCATCAGAAAAATGCAAATTGAAACCACAGTGAGATACCATTTAACATCCTCTAGAGTGGCTAAAATAAAAACCAACAGTAAGTGGTGACAAGGAGGCACAGTGACTGGAAATCTCTTACATGCAAATCTCTTAGGAATGTAAAATGATACAACCAGTTTGAAGACCTGTTTGGTAATTTCTTATCAAATGACACATGCAGGCTAAACGTGGTGGTGCACGCTTGTAATCCTAGCAACTCTGGAAGGCCTAGGCAGTGGCTTTGCAAGTTCAAACTCAGCCTGGGCAATTGTGAAACCCTGTCTCAAAATTAAAAACAAAAAGTGTTGGGAATATATCCTAGTGTGAAAGCCCTGGCTTCAATCCGCAATATAATAAACAAACAAACATGCATCTATGCTACGACCCAGCAATTTTATTTTTAGGTACTCAAAAAAAATGAAGCCAGGTGTGGCTGCATATGTCTATAATCGCAGTAGTCTGGGAGGCTAGGGAGTCAGGAAGATTGCAAGTTTGAGTCCAGCCTGGGCAATTTAGTGATTTAGTGACACTCTGGCTCAAAATTTTTATTTTATTTATTTATTTGTTTATTTATTTTTGTCTTTTTAAGACAGGGTCTCACTATGCAGTTCAGGCTGGCCTTGAGCTCACTTTGTAGCCCAGGCTGGTCTCAAACTTGCAACCATCCTCCTGCCTCAGCCTCCCGAGTGCTGGAACTACAGGTGTGTGCCACCACGCCTGGCTGGCTCTAAATTTTTCAAATGCGGGGGCTACAGCTCAGTGGAAGACCCTGGGTTCAATCACCAGTACTAGACAAAAATAAATAAATAAATGGGAAAAAAATTATACATGTATATCCCCAACTGGAGATAGCCCAAATGTCTATCAATAGGAGAATGGAATAACAGATCATGATAAATTCATGAAATAGGCTGGGGGGATAGCTCAGTGGTAGGACACTTCCCTAGTATGTGTGAGGCCCCAGGTTTGATCCCTAGCACTGAAAAAAAGAACAAACTGTATCCAGTGGCACACATTAATCTCAGTTATATTAAAAGAAGAAAAAACGGCATGTGGCACACCCCTGTAATCCCAGCACTCTGGGTGGTTGAGGCAGTAGGTTCACAAATTTAAAACAGCCTAGGTATTTTAGTGACTTCTGAGACGTTGTCTAAAAAAATGAAGGGAGCCAGGCATGGTGGTGCACGCCTCTAATCCCAGCACTTGGGAGACTGAGGCAGGAGTATCTTTGCGAGTTCGAGACCAGTTTGGGCTACAAAGTGAGCTCAAGTCCAGCCTGAACTGCATAGCGAGACCCTGTCTCAAAAAGATAATACATACATACATACATAAATGGATGGGGGATGTATCTCAGTGGGAAAACCCTGAAATCAATTCCCAGTACTGTAAAAACAAAATGAAACAAAGGACATAAAAATAAAACAAAAACAAGGCATAAAAGTATGGACTTATGATTCTGTCTATATGAAGCCTCAAACAGACAAAACTACTATTTTGTACGTTGGAGGTCAGGAAGTGGTTGCCATGGTTGGGGAGGTGATCTGTCAAGAAAGAAATTGAGGGAATTTTCAGGATCGTGTAAATGTTCTATATATGGTATTATATTAGGTAGAGGTTACAACAGGCCTAGACAATTGTCAAAGTTCATGGAACTGAACGTTAAAGGTATATACATTTTATTTTGTGTATTATACATATAGAAACAATAATCCTACGTGGGGTGGCACATGGCTATAATCCCAGCTACGTGGGAGGTAGGAGAATCACAAATTTTAGGCCATCCTGGGCAATTAACAAAACTCTGCTTCAAATAATAAAAAGGGATGGGATTTTAACTCTGATAGAGGACTTGTCTAGCATGCATGAGACCCTGGGCCCCAGCACTGAAAAAAATATATGTATATATATTTATGTAAAAGCAAGCAGCTGCCAGGCATGGTGGCACACACCTGTGATCCCAGCACTCAGGATGCTGAGGCAGGAGGATCACTGCAAGTTTGAGGCCAGCCCGGGATACATATCAAGACTCGGTCTCAAACAAACAAACAAAAAGGAACTTTTCAGATCTTCCAGATTTATTGTTGGGTGATATTTTCCCTCTCACTAACCCTATGTAGATCATGCAGCCTATCGTTTAACTTGCATTATTCTACTAAAGTTGTGAGCATACTGCATGTTCTTAGAATTTAATCTCTACCCTTACTTGTTAACCCAAAATATTACAGTATTTAAACATTTTTTTCCTTGGTGCCATGGGTAGTGGTGTATGCCTGTAAAACCTTAGCACTCAGGATGCTGAGGCAGGAGTCACTGCAAGCTTGAGACCAACCTGGCTACATAGCAAGACTCTGTCTCAAAGAATAAAAATAAAAATAAAAATAAAATAAAATACTTTCCCTTGACAAAGACATCCCCAGAGCTGACAACTGTGAGGTAGTTAGAGATTATTAAATGATAAGGAGGGTCCTGTCAATCTTGAATAGGCAGGGGACTTCTGGGGACTGAGTAAAAGGGACAGCCCAAGACATCTAGGGACTCTATGGTGAGACCATTGTGCATTGTGGGAATCTGAGTAAGGAGTGTAGGGTAACCAGGACTGATTTTCTAACTGCATTAATATGATCCTTTTTGGTAA